CTTATTTCGGGACGCATAGTATGGTGCGTATGGAGAGAAAGGAACAGCCGCTGTTTTGAAGACCAAACAAGAACTACAGAACAGTTCAGAGAATTGTTCTATCTGACTTTGTATAGTTGGTTTAATACTGTGGCTAATAACCCTATTGAAGGGTTGCCTAATTTCATGTCGTTTCTGTATTGTTTAAACTGATAATACATTTCTCATGTATTATCTATTGATTTATTAATAAATTCTTTGATTACTTATCAAAAAAAAATGTACAATCCCTATAGAATAGGATTAACTTTATTGTTCAACATAGAAGAGGAATTTTTTCCTTGTCCCCATTGAGAGGGGATAATTAGCTATAACCCACTCTTTCTCCTATATATTCTATTTGTGATAGTCAGGAACTATCATGAGGTGAGACCCGGGGGTCCTTTGGAGTCTCATCTAGAACATAGTTTTAGTTGGAGGTTTTGGTCTGTGTAATTTGTACTCTTTAGTTATCCTGTGGTATGTATTTCATAGACGGTTTTGGATGAAGTAGGCGGTATTAAATTCTATGCCCCTCTCTTAGTTGTCTCCGCCATGGATTAAGGCCAAGTGCTGAACCATGTAAATAAATCTGAGTTCAATCTCTCTTTTTATTTTACCTAAAACCCCTAATTAGGGCTTCTGCACAACGAGTAGTGTAAGAGAAAGGTGGACCTTTAAGAGCAAGACAAAGATGAGAAATTTCAAAGGAAGCATTGGAGGAGACATTTGAAGATTCACTTTGGAGGAAATGCATGAAGAATTCCTATTTAAAAGGCTTGGACAATTCAAAGTGAAGGTGGAGATTTGTTAAATTATCACTTTGAATAAATCTCATAGACAATAGGAGTTGGATTTGTACAATCCCACGCAGTAATACACATGATAGGAATTTTTTCATATCCCACATCGAAATAGGGATAGTTAGCAAATCCATTTGTTCCCCTACGTATAGGAGCCTCCTTTTTTATTTGGATCTTCCCCAGTTCATGAGATAGACATGTACTATTTTGGAGAGAGACTTATGGAGTCCTTGGTAGTCTCACCTAGGTACATACTTTCGGTTGGGGATTTGGTTTGATTAAGTTCTATTTCTTTGGAAATCACATAGTATGTATTTTGTTGGGGTATTTGGAATTGTGTACGTGGTACTCGTTCATATCTCCCCTTTGTTTAGTGAAGTTCTTCTTGTCTCCTACCCCAGGACATAGGCTAAGCACCGAACCACGTAAATTTTGTGTGTTTGTTCTCTCTATTTTGCCTAAAAACCTGATTTCAGGCTTCTGAACAACATGATTCAAAGAACTATGTTATCATTAAACATACCCCCCAGATCTCACTTGCCTACTTCATAGAAATTTTCACCTCATAATATGGTGAAATCGAGCTAAAGAGGTAAACTGGCCAATTAGTTTGGCTTGGTTAAAGTGAAAGTTTCTTCCTAAGAAGATGTGAGAAGGCTTTTAGTGTCAATATCATACTCCAGACAATGTTTTTCTACAAATCAGACTTATGCCAATTGCTTTTAAATTGGAAGAAGAAGAGTCTCATTCAACTTAACCTGGAAGTACCAGAAAAATCTAGATAATAACATATAAACGTTTGTACAATGAAAAGAAATACATTGACAACATGCGTTACCTCATTTGTCTCTGAGCCAGTTGCGATATAACCATCGCACACAGATAAACCAACGAAATTCTGAAAGAAAACGATGTCTACCATGAGATGCCAAACATGATTATATTTTCTTTGGTAAATAAGAGGTAATGATCACATTAAAATAACTGAATAATGATACTAATAAATAATCCTGGTTTCTTGATAACTCTTGCAGGTACATTGATGACACATTCGGACCTCGTTTGTGCACTAATTTTCCATTTTCTACTTAGATATACACATGCAAACAATTTAAATAATTATAGTTTTCTACTTTCTGACTCCAATTAACTTTTGTTCAAATAACTGAATTGTTTTGCCTTCCTATATATGCACATTAAACTATCAAATCAAGGACAGAATAACAACATAAAATTTAAAGGAGTCTTGAGTGAACAAAATGGAACAAATACCTTCACATTCAGGTGGCCTGTAAATGTTTGGAGAGGACAATCAAGTACTCGTGACGTGCACATTGACAAATCCCAAAGCTTTAATGTGTTATCCGTAGATGCAGACACAAGAGTCGTTGAATCTATGAACTTAATGTAGCTCACTGTTTTGTTATGCCCAACTAAAGTGCACAGAGGCATTTTTGAGTTACGTAGATCATAGTAATATATCTTATGATCTGCTGAACCGAAAGCAAGGAAACGACCAGAGTCTAAGGGGAATTGAACACAGCAGACATTGGCCTTTGTCTTAATTGTACCAACACTTACTCCCTGCAGTAGCAACCCATGTAAGAGAAAGAACTTTATTACATTGAGAACTGAATATACACAGCAATGATAACTAGATGACTGTAAGTACATGTAGTTTCAAAGCAGACATCCACCAAGTGCAAAATAAGAATTGCCTGATTGATATTCCAGAGCTTAACTGAACCATCATCGCTGCCGCTGGCCAGCATTGTTGGATCTGCTACAGAGAAGTCCACAGACCAGACACGCCTTTCATGTTCTTTCATTTCCGTGAAAATTTGACTCCTTGTAACATCCCATACCTGCACAATATTTGATCAAAAATGATTAACAATCTAAGTAGAACGAAAATGTAAATAATATCTAGTACAGGAACTCCGACCTACCTGCACCACACCTTCGAAGTTACTTGAAGCGATCTGGCTTTTGATATAGCCATTCCAACATATGCTGCTAAGCTTTGACCTGCTTGCCATTTCAACCACAGGATAATGGATATCACGATCTTCATTTAAGATCGAACTATATTCAAAAACTTTGATCTTCTTGTTTACGCCAGCAGTTGCAAAAAATTCACCATCTCGATCAAAACTCAGAGAGCATACGAGGTTTGATGAATTTAAAAGATCCCCTTGCTTCAAGTCTGCCTTGACTTTCAGTTTACTAAAAGAGAGATACTTGCATAACCCCTCTAGGAATGTATTTATCCATCCACTTTGCCTATGATCATTATACCGTTCTTTAGATGACAAATTACTAACTGAACTTCTTTCAGTTAGTGCAATAGATCTTCTACCATCGCTACTTACTGGAGAATGTCCGGTCAAAGGTCTGCCTGTTGGTTTGACAGCCCTACGTCTAGTCAAAAAATAAGCTGATTCCAATTTTCTAAAGTTTTTCATCACTCGATAACTTTTGGAGAGGACAATTCCTTGATTTCCATCAGGAACCTGTGACTTCTGATGCTCATCCACATAGGCATGGCCATCGGATTCTTCTGTGCTATCGAGATAGATTCCCTGCCTGAATCGTTTCCTGGATCCTGAGCTACTAGAATCATCATCATCACGAATATTCATCATAATGGGACCCGAAGCTGAATTCCTGCTCAATTCTCTTGAACCTCCTTTTACCCTGAGGGCTGTTTGAAGCTTTGAGACTTCTTCAATGTCAGAAGATAGAAATGAAATTGTCTCGTGCAAGCTATCTGCAGCTTCCTGTTTTCTTTGTTGCATTAACAAAAGGAATTCCAGCAACAACTCCTGCTCCTCTAATTGTTCTCTAAGCTCTACTGCAGCTTTTCGTTCTTCTATGTTATCTCTTGGTTCATTCAGAAACTCACTTTGCAACAGCTCACTGGTATATGTTGCACGAGAATGTGTAAATGGAAATGAATCTTTGGTTAGACAAAGTACCATCTTAAAGTTCTGTAAAACCTAGTACGTAACTTCAAGGTGAATCTATTCAAAGGGCAGTGGGAGAATCTGAAGTCAACATAAAATTAGTAATGCATGTAGATTCACACCAAATTTTTGTTAGCATGTCATTAGTTCCTTTTTTTATGGATATTTGTACACTTCTCTCATGGAACATTCCCGAAAGGTGGGTAGATTTTGCAGTGGCAAAGTTCAAATTTTCTTACTTGAAATTAATGAAGTGTATTAACAATGTGAGGATAGAGGTAAAAATTACTGAATTTTACAACTTCTATGGTATTCCTTTTTATACTTTTTTCTGCTTTAGTTTTATCTATTACATTTCAGAAGCAACTTGGGGTGTGAGGTTATCTCAACAAGTGTATAGAGTCAATGGTTCCTTCTATAATTCTTAAATCAATATTCTTTTTCTATTAGTTATAATTATTATTAATCCTGCCTATTGTTTTTCATAGTCAGTCCCATATCCATCTAAAGATCTAGTTATCTCTAGGTATAATTGCATTTTATTCAAAGATGACAAATCCTTCATCTATGCTAGTAAGCACTACCATGACCAAAGCAAGATTTAAGGTGAAGAAATTTGATATTATCAATAATTTTGGCTCTGATGTCATTGTGAAAAAAAAGGGACAGGCGTCTGATCCAACAATATTAAGGTCTAGATAATATTTTGGAACGAAGTTCAAGAATATGTTTGATAAAGATTGGACAAAGATCAATCACACGGATGTAATATGACTCGTTTGTTTCTCTCGAAGGACTAGAATGAGTTCATGGGGTTACATGTGCAAAGAAGCTTTGGAATATGTTAGTAGAGAAGTTCATAAAAAAAGTATTGAAAACTGAATATATTCAAAGAAGAAACTTTTCTACTTCGAATAAAATTAGGTAATTACGATCAAGACCACATTAAATTTTTTAATTAGTAAGGAGTTGAACTTGGATGAAAATTGAAGGATAAAGACGATGCTTTAAAATTGTTGGAAAAGCAAATAACCAAATACCGATGCAGATAAACCAAAATATTCAATGGCAATGCTACGAGGAACAAAACTCACCCCATTTTTGGCCGGCTGCTTGGCTCAGGATGCAGCAACCATAAGCAAAATGAAGCTTCTTTAGGCCACTTCAGAAGCAACTGAGGTGGAAGAACCCGATGTCTGAGGCTACCCATTGTTGTGCTTTTCTCTTCCAGTGAACTAAACGTGCAGAATAGCTGCCCACAAGTTAAATAAAGTGCATCAGCTTAGAGTTTGATACATTACCCCAGTAAAAGACCCACAAATCCAGTTTAAACAAGATCTGCAGATGAATTTACATATTACTGACCTCAAAGAGCAAGACCCCAAGTTGATAAATGTCCGAAGCACAAGAAGGTGGGTTACCAGAAGCCTCTTCTGGGCTGCTGTACCAATTTGATTCCATGAGCAATATTTGTTTCATAGGAAAAGAATGTTTTTTTTCTTCAGCCTGTTCACTGCCACAGGCTTCTTGTTTTGGGGAGTTGGATTCATGGTGCAAAGGTGAAGATGAACTTTTAAACTCAGCTATTTGACCATATTCAAGAGAACCTGAACTCGAATCCGAGCAAGAAGCAGATTCAATGAACGAAACACGATTAAACGATGACATAACAAAACATGAAGGTCGCACATTGTGTACAACAATTCCTTGAGAATGTGCTAGATTAACAATCTCCACAATCTGAGAAAATATGTGTAAACATTCAAGAGAATCCACTTTTCTTTCTGGGTTATCTAACCATTGTCTTAAACTAACATCGCTGCATTCCACGGCCGGAACAAGTGGCTCCGCCGCCCGATCCCCAACCTGGGTTCTGTGGTGGAGCCATCCAGCTGGTGTTTCTCTCTCTTTTCTTCCTGATATGAACCCAGAATCATGGGATGTATTATCAGACCTCTGCCAACCAGACTCAGATGAACCCTCCATTGTTATCCTCCTATTTGTTGTATACTTGTACAAAGTACACAATTTAAGATGATGATCCAGTGGCTTTTCAAAAGCTCTTCAACTTCCATTTTTGAATCAAGAACACATCTTTAACTACCCAAATAATCAAGATCACAACTTTTTATCAGACGAGCACAAATCTTTCACCTATACCAACATCAAGAAAATACAAGAAATCATCAAAAGGCAAAAGATAATGAAAATTCAAATCACACGCGTGAACACATCTTTCCTGTGTGTAGATAGAGGGGATTAGCACACAGTACCGAATATCAGTATGACAGAGAAGAGAATGAGAGAGGAGATAAAGAAATAGCTTGAATTCCAGCTGAAGCATACAAAAGAACAAGAACCACACAAACTGATACTCCTGACTTCTACTCACAACATAAAAGGAAAGTGTGTTTTTTCCAATGGAATGAACCACAGCCTCATAAAATCTCCCACCTCCCAAGAATATTTGCCAAGACAAAACCAAAAGAAAATTCACCCGTACCCCGTTTACGGTTTACCCCACCTAAGCCTTTAAATGCATATATTTCTTTGTTTCTTGATTAACAGTTACTGCACACAGAATTATTATTTTAAGAAACCAAGGGACGTTCTGCTCGCTTCTCTTCCAATCCATATTTGCATGAATACGTGGCTCTTTCGCATCCTCAAGCCTGTTTTTTTCCCTAAAAGTACAGTGACAAAATGGGAATAATTTAATATTTTATGGTGGGCTTTCATTTTTATTTTACTTTACTTATATTATCCACTATCTTCAATTTCCAATAACACAGTGTAAAACTCAGAAAAGGGTTCAAATACTAAACACAGACAATTCGAGTTTCTACTGAACTACTCCCTCCGTCCCATATATATAGGTTTGTTTCATTCTTCACACGAATTAAAAAATCTTATTTAATGTTATTGAAAAATCAATTTTTATCAAGAACTTTCCAAGTTTATCCCGATTTAATTTTCAACAACTAGAAGTAAATTATTGTTGGAATTAGTAACTGGGCAAATTAAATAAAGGTATATTAGTAAAATAACAAAACATAACATTCCCAATTAAGAATAGAAGTAAATTATTGTTGGAATTAGTAACTAGGCAAATTAAATAAGGGTATATTAGTAAAATAACAAAACATAACATTCCCAATTAAGAAACAGTCATATATATTTGGGACAAGAAAAAAAGGAAACTCAGCCTATATATATGGGACGGAGGGAGCAATAGAATAATCAAAAGGAATTATTAATGTCATTAAATTAAGCTAATGTAAAGATTAAAGATGCCAAGTGCATGGAAATAAGTAATTTATTGACCAATGAATAATTAATTATTAATCACACTGATTATGAGAGAGTAGTGACTTTTTATATCATTTTCTTCAACGTCATTTATTTTTATTTTTTATTAGAGATGAGGATAGGGGTTTGTGGTTGATGGGGCAATGTGTATGTTTCTGGGGTGGGTGGGGGCAACAAAAAAAATAATTTAATTTAATGTCGAACATGACTTATTAGCTAACACAATTTATAGATAATACTAGCTATGGTCGTGCAATGCACGAACATTGTTATTTTGAAGGCAATATCAGCGTTGAATATGAGCAATGTTAGCAAAATGATCTTAATTGAACAAAATAAATTTACATATGATTTCATCCATAGAATACAATTATAAAACATTTAAAGAGCACGAAGAAATTTTTAAAAACTTAAACGAGATTCATAGGGAATTTATCTTTCCAAATTGTTATGTAAAAACTAAAACAAAGAGCAAATATACACCCAGAGAAGCATGGAAAGAATAATTCATCATCATTACAATCATCATCTGTTGCATCTATTTGTTCGTCTAATGGGAGCTCAAAATCCTGGCATTCAGTAGGTCTTCTGTAGGTTCAACAAAGATATTTTTTTTGTACAAAAAATCTTGGAAGGCGGTGGAGAATCGACGTAAGAAATTTGAATTTGATGTTTGTGGGGGCAGTCCGTGTACAAGAAGCTGGTTTTTCCATTTTTGGCCCCCCTTTTTAGGATAAGTATGTGAAGTCAATATTAATGGGTATATCTACAGAAGAAATTAGATATTTAAGAGGCAAAAGAGTATATTTGAAAAAAAAAAGGTAAAGGTGGGTCGAGCGGGCAGCACTCCTCGTGGGGGTTCGGGGTAATTCCAAATTATCCCAATAGATCAACCTGGCCGGTCAGGTCGCAGGTATCGAGGGCAATCCAAATTATCCCAATAAATAATAAATGAGATACATAAATGAATTTGACAAAACAGAAGCTGCAAATTATGATTAGTTTCCACTAAGCTAATTCAATTTCACTAAAATCAAGGGCCAAAGAAATTGCCAATTTTTTATTATTTATTTATTTATTTATTTTGTTTCCACAAGAATAATTTTTTACTCTGAATAAAACATTATGAAAAAGGATCATCAAAATTTTTCAAATTAAACGTATTTTCCACTTTCATGTTTTGTGACAAACTTTCCAAACAATTCGGAGAGTTTTAAAAAATCTTGTCATTTACATTGGTGTGTAGCAAAGTAATGAGAGATTATTGTGTCAATTTACATTTCACTAAATGTTATCGTTCTCAATCTGATTTTTGTGATAATTTTCAATTATCATGATAAGCTAAGTTTCTTGTAAATGATAAGAAATTGTCATACTTATGAAACATAATGCCATTTTTTCGCATACATTCAATCAAAGGTACTAACACAATATTAGAAACTGAATTCCAACTGCTTGCCTTGGTTTTGTTTTGGTAAAGGAGAAACAACATTCTTTGAAAATGTATTCTCTTAAAAGAGGAGAAGAAAAATAGGTCGCGGTGGTCGAGGGGATAGAGCCCCTCGTGGGGGTTCAGGGGCAAGGCCCACGACGGGGATCGATCTGTTCGGTCATGTAGCGGGAGTCGAAGGGGCAACGCTCCTTGTGGGGGCTCGGGGGCAACGCCCTCGAAAGGAAATCTGATTTGTAAACGATTGTGAGGTTTTATAATTTCTATTAATGTTTTTGAATTAAATCATTAATATGTGAAATTGTATTTAGTTTGTGTAAAATGTAAGCAAATGGTATCACCTAAATTTAAAAATAAGTTCGTAATTTTGGTTAATATTATTTATAGAAATTTATCGTATATTAATTACTATTTGCACTGTAATAAAAATAAAAAATAAAAAAAATCAACTCCGCACAGTGCGGAGCCATGCGGAGTTGATGCTCCAGTGCGAAGCATCAACTCCGCACAGTTTGGACAAATTTTTTGGTTTTTCGACATTCTTCAGTCAACAATTGTGGTATTTAATTTTTTTTCTTCTTTTCTATTTTTTAGTCAACAATTGTGGGTAATGAAAAAGTCTATATTACCCTTTTATTTACCCTTTTTTTTTTTAATAGAATGAGGATGAAAAATGTTTCACAAATGAATAGTATATAATGAGGGATAAAATGAGAAAAAAATTAATTGGTGAAGAATAAAATGGGAATGGAAAATACTTCACAAATGAATAGTGCTCAATGAATTGGCTCTTTCATATTAGTAGGGAAATAACTCAAGTCGATGTGTACTCAAATGATCGATGTCGTAAGTAGTAATTGACGAGTTTTCAACAACTTAACACACATGCAGCAATATCTAATATCTTGACCAAGCTACTTATAGTTAGTTAATTATTGGTGATTGTATATTAGTCAAATTTTTGGTGCAAGTATATTAGAAAATTAATATTTTGATCAATCAAAGTCATGTTCATCCAATGTTGGTATTAATATTCTTATTCTTTACAAAATGAAAATATATGTTTGATAAGGAACAGGTTTGAACACATGGACTAGTGAAAATAAAAATTCAAAATTAAACCAATTAATCTTTGAAACACTATGGCCAATGTCTTGATCATTTCAAGAAGCTAGAAATCAAGATATATAGAGCTCATCTTGTATAAACCCAGTAACACGCTTCTGTGTTTCACCCATTCTAACTGCATCAGCCTCAAATGAACACGAAAAAATAAGCACACGAATGCCGATTATCCATTACAGCAAAAATAATATAATGAGACGGGTAAGGTAACCGTTGGATGCACTGATGCTAAATCAGGATTTTACACATTTAGAAACAGAATATCTTGATATCGACGATAAGCTTACTCGTACAAGAATAGCCCTTGTTTTTTATAACCGTTTGCTGTACTACAAAGAAAACACGGACGAAAAATCTCCCAAATAGGGATGAATTCCTATTTCCAACTCCTACCAGTGGGCGAAACTAGCCACCGCATCTCCTTCTATGGAATATCCTTTATACAATAATCCCACCAATACCTGGTGAATTCGTTGCTGATCTTTACCTTTGTCTTCTTTCAGTTCAATCGGCTTTATATCGACTCAACGTCCTGAAACATAAAAGGAACTAGTTGGTGGTTGGTTTCCCTCAACTTGAAGTCTTCTCATTTTTGCCTTATCCAGCCGAGCTCTTCGTACAGCTTCTTGGATTTGGCGGTCGTGATCCTTCAGTGCCTGGTCCATTTTGCCTGATGGAACTAGCAGTGGTCCAGAGTAGTGAATTTTGCTGCCCTTCGACCCATAACCCATCTGGAGAGAGAGATGAGAAAAAATAAATCAAAAGGACAAATTAAATTCTTAAATTGAAGAACAAAAAGGCCCCGTAACATCAAACTCAAGAGGTATATTTATTACTTACATGAACGGGATCGTTGCTGATTCTTTCATTGTCATGCTTACGAGAGGCTACATTCGTGTTTTCTTTTTGATCTTGTTGTGCTGTGGAATTTGAAGCCTCCTTGAATGATCCAGGAAACCTGGATATAAGCTTGGGAAAGTCCAGTTGAGAATAAGATTCCTCCCAACGCTCTTCAGAGAGCATGCTCTTTCTTGCAGAAACTAAACCAGACACGGCTGATAAGTCGGCCCCAGTCAGAATTTTTGGAGCATCTTCAGTGTTCTTTCCAGCCTTTGCCCAGGCAGCCCGATTAACTAAAGGCCCAGAATGGGAAGCTCTCTTGTGTATATTTTCCTGAGAATCATTGCTAGCTTCTTCCACAGCCTGGGATGGTCTAGGCGGGTCAATTGGAAAACCAGAAGCAATTTCTTCGGGATGAGAGTTGAACATCTCACTCCTGCTCTTGGAGTTGGAGTTGGACTGACAGTGTCTTTTCTGTATCCAGAAAGCCAATAAGCGATGAGAACAAAGAAAAAACCGTGGATTGGCAATGAAATCTTTTCTTGGTGATTTCACATAGACCAGACTCAAGAATCTGTTATAAATTTATGGTAAAAACAAGAGAAAAGGGGACATAATTTTGAACCCAGTTTTATTTTTGACAGAACAAGGGCCACAGTCACTATAAAATTCGCAAAAACCTATAAGAAAAACAATAGCTATCAACAATTAATTACTGCAAAGGTATGAACTCCTCTATATAAGAGTTAGTAAAACTTATCTACTTTTTTCTACTCTATATTAATATTCTTGCTTACTCTTAACATTAAATGCCTGTAAAGATACGCCCTCAATTCAGTTACTTAGATTGAAAAAACATTTTTTCCCGAGTTCCTTAATGGTTTTTCTCTAATTTTTCACTTCTTTAATTGTGACTACTATATGCAAGTGTCTGATAGATTCTAGCTTGCTTTGTCCTTAATAGACATCAATAATCAATTATTTTAGCATATTAAATGATGTGGGATCATAGGTCAATATCAACACAGACCTGCATCGATGAGACTAATTCAGCATTAGCATCAGGAGCTGGAACTGCACAAGATTGTCGTGGTCCTTTCCTATCAAGATCATGCCTTTGACCCTTGCTTCCAGCTGCCAATTGTCTGTAAATTTCTGTCAGTTAGGAGATAATTGATAGCACTAAAATACTAGAAGTATAGTTTACATAGCCAATTTTCAGGTAAAATATCGACAAGTTTTCAGGTTTCACATATAATTAGGTAAGTGCTTCAGCATCTTATTTATGGTGTATTACATGGTTACATGTTAAGATTCAGTAAACACCTTCTAGCTTCTTCATCCCGTACTTTGACATCAAACTCTTTGCTGGGAGGATATTTAGGCAAGACTGAAGGATCACAAGGATGTGGCCTTGTTGCAAAGAACTGCAAAAGAGAGCACATACCATATAAGATTTTCCATTTGCTTCTATGGAAAATGTTAATTTTATAATATAAAGAAGTAGTATAGATCAGTTCAGGCGTTCTCTGTTGATGCCCTAGCCCTAGTTTACATCTTCAAGTCCATCTCCCACTAAAGATGAGCACAAGGACCTTTTTCCATCTTTCCCTCCTCCTCACTACTTGCTTTAGTAATTTCTTCTCTCTGACAATTACGCAGCAAAGTAGCAGCAAGACAGGAAGAGGATATGTTACAAACTGCGGCACTGTGTTAATTTTGTTAGCCCCTGTTTGATGGGCTTTTGAGAAATGGAGTTTTGAATAATTATTTTTTGGAGAATGTGTCGAATTTTTTGGTTTACGTGCAAAATAATTTATTGTATAAATGTGTGGTTGAAAATGAGTACAAGAATTAAGGAGTTTTGAAATAATAGTCATCAAATAGGGGCTTAATTTTAATTCAACTTAGATGCCTAGACCCAAATTGAAGATGCAGTCACATCACAGGGCACAAATCGCACTTCTAGGAAAGGACAACAGATCGTGCACAGTGTTTATTTCTCTGAACCTTATTATATAAATTTAAAATCTGGTGTACATATTATCTTCGTTCATAGACAAACGATATAACAGTTATACTGCTCATAGACAAAACACTATAATGGTTACATTTTTTACCAGTATAAGCCTCTGGCATATTCGTATCCTGCTTTTTTGAAAAATTACATGGCACGTCCTGTGTCCAATTGTCCACATCCACTCATCACAGTCGATGAATATCCCATAAAAAACTTGATAAGTCAAAACTTGAATAGTATTGTTCAGAGCGAGGACAAAGAGCTATGACCTATGATGCACCGACACCGGCGACACGCATGTGTCCAACACGACACTTGTCGAATATATCGACAAATGAGTTTTCAAAAAAAACAATGACACGAAGTATCAATGACATGCTGATTAAATTCTTTAAAATTCTTCATTTAATATAAATTTAGTTTTATACTTTTTATTAATTTTTCTTGTTGAAATTTTCTAAATATGACTACCTATTTGTTATTATAAAATTTTTCATTTATACAGCCCATGTTTGATCCTCATTTTCGGGGTAAAATGTATTATAGAATGTGATTTATGGGAGAACGTGTGATTGAAAATGAATTTTGAAAAAAATGTATTATTGAAAAAATGAGGCTAAAACAGGGGCATAGTATAAATTTAGTTTTATGTTTTTTATTAATTTTTCTTGTTGAAATATTTTAAATATGAGTACCTATTTATTATTTACTAATAACTTTGAGTTAAAAATATATAATGTTTCTAATAAAAAAAGAAATATGATCATGGTAGAGTGTCGGTATCCGACATGTGTCGGACACGTTAGTCTAGTTGAAGTGTCCATACAAGAAAGAAAGGCTGTGACCATTCATGTGATCATTGTATCTTCAACTCTAACTCTGTCTTAATCAAGAAGAATTTCCTGATTCACTTCTAAAGGTAGCAAGCTTATCAAAATGATCCCACCTTTTAGCTAGTGCCAAATTTCCTCATCAGTGAACTGGGAACCAACTTTATAAATACTTTCCCTTTCTTTCTTTTTGCTCCAGGGAATATATTGGGGTTTGAGTTGTTGGAAGAGGAGAGGAGGGAGAACAAGTATACTACTAATTCACCAATACTGGAAAATTTAATTTCTAATATGCAAGCAAAAAATGTAATTTATGGGAAATTTGCTACCTCGCTCTTTAAAGCAGAGGCTGCAGATCCGCGATCTTCAGGATCTATTGAAAGCAACATCTCTGCGAGTGCTAATGCTGGAGCTGGAAAGTCTAGAAACATTTCTGCAACACGGCGTTTATAAGGTTGTTGAGGCTTGAAAATTGTTGCATGAGGCAACTTTGATTTCTTCCAATACTCTTCAGAGGGTGACCCACAAAGTTTGAAAATTTTATGTAACTGCTCAACCTACAAAACAAAGTCCAAAAGATTACTGTGCCATTGTCATGAGATTTTACTGATTTTTTTTTTTTTTTCCAGTGGAGAAATTAAGGTGGATCTCTTTTTTGTAGATTAATCAAAAGAGAAAAGTGGAAATGCCAAGATAAATGAAACAAACAAGCAATGCCAAAATCAGAATTATCCTAAGATATTTTAGTATTCAATGTGAGTTTATATACTAATGCTTCATATTAACTAATGTGTCTCAGTACGAGTAGTATTTGTCGGTCATAATCTTCATTAAATTATACATATACAATTGTGATATGCCGCTCACAATAAATAAAAAATATAATTGATAAAACAAAGATAAATGCTCGTGCAATGAATAGAAAGCTTGAAAACAATAACTTCCCACCAAATGAAAATGGCGTCATGTCATACGGCAGTTGAAAGTGATGCATCTAAAGCAGATGCTAAATATCAACACTAATTTCAATTTTTCACAGACAGGCATGCTCATGATTTATCCCCAACAACAATCAATATATCTAAGTACTTGACTTTAAGTCGCCACTAAGATCATAAACTTTATTAAGGTGATGAAAATCCGTCTACCAAGGAGATATTGAAGCCAATTCTAAATAATCTATTGAAAATGAAAATCACATCAACAATTGCAATGCAGATATAGGAAAAGCAATGACAACTTAGTAATCTAAACGAGATATGGTGGGAAACCATAAATTTCAAGTGATTATAAAACCCTGACATAGGAGATCTCTGTAAACCATCAGAGCTCCTTAAATTAGAAATATGAACTCCAGAAGATATAAACTGTAACAAGTAACTTTCCCTCTTCCTCACTTATGGAATGCCCCCGAAATTAGCATTTATTTTAGAAACACTTCTAAAGTAATTATCACAATCCACAAGATCCAAGAAACATGAAGCCAACGTAGAGACCTTGAAGTGCTATCTAACTATTTGAGAAACTGCCAAAAGCATTTTTGCCGTGTTAACTTCACTTCAATCCTTTTCCATTGGAGAATAAGAAATCTGGTAATATGGGGCACAAAATGTAACTTTGGCCATTAAAAGCATTACGTAGTTTCTGAAGTTAACCTAAACTCTTTGACACAATTTACTTAACGACCCATAGTGGCAACTAATTCTAGTTTCTGCTTACCGATTGAATAAGAAGCTTCCCCTAAAGACTAAGTGAATATACTAGAAAAAAATTCAGTGATATTTTCACATTTCCATATAGCAAAAATAAATAATTTTAAGGGAGTTTATTTGTAAATTATATATTCATTCATTAATTCATCAATCTGCATATTTGTGGACTCTCTTATGATTCTGTGGAGCTTCATATTTTTAAAATTCATGTTCCCACACATTTAAGCCTACGTTGATTTATAAATGCCTAACAAATTTGAGCTTCATAAATAGCTGGCAGCCAAACATGATATGCAATATTTTCTTCTTTTACAAAAAATAAAAGGACAGATAGTTTTCTTCATGGTTCTATTAGAGTATATAACTACTAAATAGCAAGATTCACCAAGCAGGCACTAGGGTTTTCTAAGACTAGATAAATGGAGAAAAATGATAATTCAAGGAAGTATTTGCAATTGTAAAGGTTCTTGTCGACCAAAGATGGATGCAATTCAAAAAGATTGTCATTGTCAAGCGCCCTCTTAGGAGCAAAAAGTTGTTCTATAGCAACATCTGAGGCTTAACTTTTAGAACAACTCAAGCTGTATCGTCCAGTTGATCCAAATTTCATGAATGGTATGCAGCAACGAGCATCAATTCATTGTTCCTCTTTCCTCCCTTAATCTTCTTTCCAGCTTCTCTATTTATTTTAATGTTATTATCGGTCATTCCTTTTTTTTTTTGGGTGTCATAGGCAACGTCAATCCCTTTTGAAAATAGAGAGAGAGAAAAAAAGGGTGAGAATATACCTCTGTTCTTCCAGGCATGATAGGTTTTCCAGAATATAGTTCAGCGAGTATGCAACCTGCACTCCATAAATCCACAGCAGTACCATAGTACGTGGCACCAAGTAGAAGTTCAGGTGGCCGATACCACAGGGTAACAACACGGCTCGTTAGAGGCCGACTCTGATGAGGATCAAAGAAACTTGCCAGACCAAAATCTGCAATCTTCAGGATGCCATTATTGTCAATTAGAAGATTTGAACCTTTTATATCACGATGCAGGACATTGCGACTATGACAATGATCAAGTCCATGCAAAAGCTGTTGCATGTAACACTTAACCTGGAAAAAAATAACAAAACCGTCATACTTTCTTGAGCAACCAAAAACACTATGCCTAGTACATGTTACGTATTAAAATCATGCAATTCAACAGTTTGAGAAACCCACACAGTATGAATAAGAGATCACTTATCGAAGCGAGAAAGGGAGAAATTGCAACTATAGCTGATCGAACAAATTTTCTGAGCACCTGAGGTTCGGTAAATTTGACCCCAGGGTGAGATGCAAGGCCTGCCAAATCATGCTCCATGTACTCAAAAACAAGGTACAGGCTGCAAGACATCCGAGATGTAACTAGACCTTCCAATTTAATTACATTTGGATGGTCAAGCCTACGTAGAATGTGTATTTCCCTTGCCATGAAACGAACACTCTCAGGCTCCAGGTTATCAAACCTCACTTTCTTCAAAGCGACAATCTTCCCTTGATCAAGATCGCGAGCACGGTAAACATTACTATAAGTACCCTGACCAATCTAGAAAAAAATAGATCCATAAAATAAAGAAAATATAGTAGCCAATAAGTAATGTCAATAAATATTGCAATCATCAGAATGCAAAATTCACTAGTAAAGCATGTTTCATAAATAAATTTTTATCAACCAGTCTAAATGTTATTCCCATAATGCCATGTGCAAATACTCCATGATATCTTGAAATAACAACGATGATATAACAAAAGATCCTTGTTCAATCGAAACCCTAAACATAAGCATAGAATTCTGATAATGACCAAATTAGGAGCCTGTTTGGTACAGATTCTCATTTTCTACAGTAAATCAATTCTCATTTTCAACCACACTTTTTTCAATAAAATAATATTTTCCATCACATCAATAATTTTTTCTTCTTTTTCAACAACACATTTCACATCATATCACTATTCAAAATCAATTCTTAAACTTCTCATTTTCTACAGTAAATCAATTCTCATTTTCAACCACACATTTTTCAATAAAATAATATTTTCCATCACATCAATACTTTTTTCTTCTTTTTCAACCACACATTTCCCATCATATTACTATTCAAAAATCAATTCTTCCCCCAAAAATCTCTACCAAACACACTCTAGAACTATTCGACTTCATAAGAATCCCAATCCAACTACTTGATTTTCTGATTACTAATTTTTTATCTCCATTCTGCTTTTATACTAAAAAATTAAAGTTGCTGACAAACTACAAAGCAGACAATCTTCAGATTAGTATATGTTTGGGAAGTCATTAAATAAAAATTTAATTGATTATGAGCTATGGGTCCGACAAAATGTGTGGATAATGTGGGTAGTAAATTTAGGTCTACAAAATGTATGGATAAAGCGTATATGTGATCAGCTTAGATTATATTTTAATCAATTCCCAAACATGCACTTAAAAATATTTTGGACTACCTCTTGTGATAAAGCATGCATGTCCAGTACAAAATCCTGCAAAATCACTTGTCGGTCTTTTGTTCTGACAAAGCTGTCACGAGTAATAATGGAAAATTATTATATTATGTTTTAAAGAAGGAAAAAGCTAAAGTCTGCAGACGGAAACTTTTGTGTTTCGGTTGTTTAATTCTCGTGAGACATTCAAGCATTTTACGCCCAAGGGCACATGGCAACGACTTCTGCTACCTTTTATTTCTCCTTTTACCTCATTCAGGCAGGTTTCATGCTATTTTTTACTCCAGTCTGACATGTATTGTAAGGTAATTGAATAACCGACACTGATGGCTCATGTACCATTGTGAGTGCATGCGCGCTCACATACACACATGCGTTTGGTATTTCAGATTAACAATTATTCCAACAATAGATGAACAAGATAAAGGGGTAACAAGTATTAACACTTCAAAAGGTTTCCCTGGATGTTAACTTCCATAAATTGTAATCTTCAATCTATTGAATGAAAAATAATAAGAAGAAGAAGAAGAATCGAAGGAAGGGGCTCTCAAGAAAGTGAAATTGCGACCACCATTGAGCACGATCGATCTATTTCCTTTAAGATAACATTTTAGAAGTACATAATAACTACTAACTACATTCCAGAGCAATGCTAAGTAGGTTCATGACAAAAGTCAACAAAAGGAGCATACCTTGTCCAGCTTTTCGAATGAATCTGCCCTCCTAGGCATCCATCCTCTAATAGCTTCACCAGCAACAGCGGCTAGCCATGGTGGCCATCCAGCGGAGACCTGCTCCCCTACCGTTGCTCTAGGGACCATGCCCATGCCAGGATGTTGTACCACAGAAATATACTCAGCCTTCTCCGTCTTCCTCTCGAAATTCTCATTATGTGACCTAGCTGAACCTTTCACTTGCTTATCTATCAACACTGCCCTCCCATCGCTATTATTATTATTATTGTCCAACCATTCTTTTACCCTGCTCTCATCCTCCCTCCTTGAGGATACCACTCTAGGGACTCGTAAATCCAAAGATGTTTTATTCGACAACTGCTCCCTCGAACTCTCCTTACTATCCCCTACGGCATAGGGCTTACAACAAACACCGCCCATTCTACTTCAAAACACCACAATCCCAAAACAAACCACCTACCAAAATCAAATCTTTTTCACTCTATTCCAACAAGAAACTCCTCTTCTTCCATTGCTTCACTGCAACAAACAATTTACCCAAGAAACAAACTTTATCACATAATTCAACTCAAACAGAGTAAAAAGGTACAATTCCAACTCAGGCATCACCAATCTCCATATCGTGCCATAAATAACGTACAGAAACTAACACCAGACCCTAAAAGAAAACTTTTTAAAAAAACCCAGATAGAAAAAACGGACCCTTCACGAAATGTATAATTATTGGCACAAAAAAAGTGAGACTTTGGCAGAAAATCCAAATGGGTTCAACGGTGAAGTTGAGATTTTTAGCAGTTTACCGTTTGACATGGGTAGATCTAGGGCATGGATAGAATTTTGTGCAGATAGAAAGAGAGGGATAAAAGACATATGCTTGTAGGAAATTTGATCGAGACACGACTTGAATATCGTTTCAGTATGAAATGCACTCCGATTTTCGTAACGATATGGATATCGTTCCTGTAATAAAAAAAGATTTCAATATCGTTTTCGTATAAAATACACACCGCTTCACTAATCTTATAACGATATTGAAATCGTTCCTGAAACAAAAAAAACGACTTGGATATCGTTTCAGTATGAAATACACGCTAATTTTCGTAACGATGTGGACATCGTTTATGTAATAAAAAACGATTTCAATATCATTTTCGTATGAAATACACACTGTTTCACTAATCTTCGTAACGATATTGAAATCGTTCATGTAACAAAAAAACAACTTGGATATCGTTTCAATATGAAATACAGGCTGATTTTCGTAACGATATGGAAATCATTCCTGTAATAAAAAACAACATCAATATCGTTTCCATACGAAATACACACTGCTTCACTGCGTTTCATAACGATGTTGAAATCGTTCCCGTAACAAAATACCGACGTCTATATCGTTTCAATACAAATTTGTCGAGTTGAAACTCGTTTCAATCAATATCGTAACTAGAACGACATATATGTCNTAGATCTCGTTTCAGTCAACATCGTAACTAGAATGACATATATGTCGTTTCTTCTCATATGAAACGACTTTGATGGCATTGTAGTGGCATCATCCCACTTCATTACCTCTTTCGATCGTCTTACGTATGTTAAATGTATGTCGGGTGGTTGTGAACGGTCGAATCGTTATTTTTAGCCATAACGATATAATTATCGTTTTATATGAAACGAACCGGTATCTATGTCATTGTAGTTATTATTTGAATTGAAACGATATCAAGGTCGTCAAAATTGTACTAAAATGATATGGACGTCATTATGTTATTTTGTGGGTCTGATACATAACGACGTCCATACCGTTTCAATACAATTTTGACGACATTGATATCTTTTCAATTTAAATCATAACTAAAATGACATGTATATCGTTTTATTTATATAAAACGATAATTATATCGTTTCTATTAAAAATGATGATTCAACCGTTCACGATCACTCGACAAGCATCTGACATATGTATGATGATCGAAATAGGTCATCTAGTGGGTGCGATCTCACTCAAAAGAAAAGATGAGAATATTTGTGTTCTCATGATTATATACAACCTTCGAATTATTCCGATAGAAAGAAAGTATTTTCGTTCGTTCTTTCTAAATAATTCAAGTGATATCAACCCACTTGATCACCTTTTTAGATCGCCATACGTATGTTGAAGGCATGCTTGGTGGTTGTGGATGATCGAATCAATATTTTTAGCTAAAACGATATAATTATCGTTTTTCATGAAAAGAAACGATATCTATGTCGTTATAGTTATTATTTGAATTGGAACGGTTTCAAACTCGTCAAATTTGTANGTTGAAACGATATGGATGTCGTTATGTTATTTTGTGAATTTGATACATAACGATGTCCATATCGTTTCAGTACAATTTTGACGACATTGATATCGTTTCAGTTTAAATCATAACTAAAACGACATATATATCGTTTTAGTTTATATAAAATGATATTTATATCGTTTCTATTAAAAATGATGATTCGACCGTTCACGACATATATAAGACGATCGAAATAAGTCACCAAGCGGGTTCGATCTCATTCAAAAGAAACTATATGAATATTTGTGTTCTCATAACTATATACAACTTTCGAATTATTCCGATAGAAAGAAATTATCTTCGTTCTTTCTTTCTAAATCATTCGAGTGGCATGAGCCCACTTGATGACCTATTTCGATCGTCTTTTATATGTCGGATGCATGTCGGGTGGTCGTGACCGGTCAAATCGTCATTTTTGGCAGAAATGATATAATTATAGTATAGTATGAAAAGAAACGATATCTATGTCGTTGTAGTTATTATTTGAA